ATGAATGCCACCGAGAAGGGCAGAGAGGGGGTTTGGGGGAGAGCAAAGGACTAGGATCTCAGAGAAGAGCAATTTTAAAAACTGCTTGCGTTTAATAAAGTGTCAGACACTGCAGTATGCCACACACTTCATACACATTATCTGTAATTCTTCAACAGTCCCCGAGAAGTGAGTGATATTATCTGCCATTTTCAGTTAAATAAACTAAGGGTCAGAGAAGTGCACCATAGAGTCCTTCCTCTATAAAGTGCAGGGAAAGTAGCCAGAAGGACTTAGTGAGGCAGCATATGTAAAAGCACCAAGCAAATAATAGGTGCTTGAAAATGCACCTCTCCCAGAGAACCATAAAGCAGGAAGGAATTAAAAATAAAAAGGAATCCCAGTCAGTCTCTGAGGAGATTATAATTTACCAAGAAACAAAATGCACCTACAGGTAATCACACAGAATGGCCTAAAATTAGTAGTCAAAAATATACGAAAATGATAAACAGAGCTAGAATTCACAAAGATCATTATGGCAGTAGTGTGAAGGAAAGGTTAAAAGTGGAGCCAGCCTGGATAGAGAGTAACCGTTTAAGAAACTTTCACTGTAATTTATATGAATAAAAGCCACAGCTTATTCCAAAATTAAGGCCACAGTAATAAGGACAGAGAGTAGAAAATGAAGAATTAAGAGGTAAAACTTGAGCAGACTAGATTGTCAAACAAACAGAGCAAAGGAGGAGGGAAGACTCAAGCTGGCCACCAGAGGGGTGGGGAGACTAGTACAGAAGGCCCTTTTCTTGGATATATGAAGAAACCCAAGAAAGTTTCAACTTTTCTCATGATAACTTTTATTTTTTTCTGAAATACCAAATTATTTTGAAAATGTGTAAGTGTCCCTGCTTTGCAGGGGCCTGAGCACATGTTTAGCAAACTCTGCAATCCAACACTGGCTGGGAAGAGAGGAACATCTGCCTAGGGATGAAAAGCAGAGCTTTCTGGGCCAGTGACTAAGGACAACAGGGATGTGAGGCTGGGGGGACTCCCTGTCACCAGAACAGACAGGTTAGAGCCAAGGCAAGCTGTGCTTCTCGGTCAGAGGCCTGACAATGCTGCAGATGTGATTTGCCCCAGAGTGTCGGGGCTGGTACAGGGAAGACCTGGGTCTGCTAACAGCCAGGTAACACCAGGAGTGAGCATCTGATCTTCATGAGACTCCTCTACTGTCCCCTGATCCTCCTACCAATGTGAGTTAGGCAAATGGTGGCTGCCTAGCAAGCCTATGGCCACATGTCAGAATGGGCATGCTGGGCAGGCACGTCAAAGGGGGGATATTAGAGGAGACATGGAGCCATGAGGTTTAGAGAGCAAGAAGAGATACAGAGGCATTCAAAAATAGTCAAAAACTGAAATGTCAATGGAGGCAACAACAAGCAGGAACCAATGCATGGAGGTTCCCGACAGGCACGGAAGAAGCTCTGTGTTGATGCCCATCTGCAGATGGAGCTGAACTGGGGCCTTCAATTCCAGGCTGACACACTTGGACTTGATGTCATGGACAACAGAGTGAAAAGAATGCCTTAGAAAATTACATGGTATGCTCAGACAATGGGCAAGGAGTGATAAGAGGAAAAATATTTTAATACCAACCTCAAAACAAAAGAAAAATTATTTCAAAGTTTACATCAAGTCAAGATAGGCAAATTTCGCTGGTAATGAAGAGAAAATATTTTTAAATATTCTGTCAACAGAAGGTGTTTATATCTTTGTATATTCATTATCTCAGATAGTGAAGTGAATTACAAAATATAAAACATTTTACTTTCTCTTGTACAAAAAGAAATTTAAAACAGGCCTATAGACATGTAAAAACCAGTGTATATAGGAGTACCATAAATAAAATAAGAACACTCCTTAAAAGAAATACACACATTCTTGGTAGAATATGCATTTCATTTGCATCATGAAATTGATCATGTGGGCATGTGTGTCTGTGTCAACTTTTAAAACACGAATATTAGTATGGAAATTATAAATTAAAAGTAAAGCAATACTTTAATGTCTTTTGATAGTTTTCCATTCAGGATACGCAAACTATTTTAAGTATAATTTTCAACATTTCAGTGTCAAATCTGAAGAGTTCCATTTCAGCTGACCTGAACACCATTATTATAATATTTACACAATGAAAATGGACATTAATAGTCAAGAGCACAATGTCAATACAAAATTGAATTCAGTCTGATGCTCCTTGGAAGGCTGGCGTCTGCCTTTTGATCATATTGATGCCTATTTTCAATTATAAACCACACTTACTTCATCTTAGAACATAAATGTTGAGTTAGATTACCACTGTACTTGAGCACAAGCATCTTCTTAGCTCATCAGGAAAAACCAAACATAATAATCAGTGCCTTCATTCTTCTCATTCAGGGTTGGATGAGGTCCCCTCTCAGCATAGAATACCTAGTAAACTCATTACTGTACATTCCACTGACTATTAACATTCTACCTTACATTGTTATCATGTTTTATGGGCATATTTCATATCCCAACTAGGTGGCAAGATTTTAAGAAACCATGTCATAAACTCCTTAGTGTTTTAGTCTAGGTCTTACATGGTGCATTGCACACACAGAGCCTTAAAAATGAGAGTAGCTTGACTGTTAAATTATGAGTAAAGAGAAAGGCACTCCAACATGTCAGCTGTGTCTGCTTTTCATGTACTAACCTGTCACCTTCAGAGTTGACAGAGCTCAAAAGCTTGAGAAAGTCATATTTTAAGTCGTATTATTGGTTAAGGAACCATCCAAGACTTCCCTTCCTCACCACTCATCCCCACTCAACAGTCACGCAGACTCTGTTTATACTCTCCAAAGAGAACCCACTCCTGTCTTTACATGTCCCAAGACTGTCTTCTCACTTAGCATTTTCTAGTACCTCTTTTGTCAGATGTCTATAAAGTCAAGGGAGAAAAGTTATATGTCTCATAGCCAATTAGTACACAGCACCCAATATTGCCATAAAGATTTATTTTGGGAACAGAAGATTTGCCCATTGGTGGCTTTTTTAGTTAATACCAGATCACAAGAGAAAATCCCGGGGAGGAATTTTCTCTTCTACAGGTGTTCTTATACTAGTTGATGAACCTTAAAGAACCTGAAAGGAGAAACTCTGAGAAATAATGTTAACACACTGGCTGGCTGAGATGAGGGGGAGAATGCAGGAGCTAGTCAGAGAATCTAACACTTTGCTGCCATCAACCAAAACTTGCCTTGCTCTGGAAATTAGGACAAACTTCACCCCTAACACTCAAATAGCAGGTTCAATCTTGGGTGGAGGTAAGAGAGAATCTGTGTCCTAGGATCCTGATCTGAATGACACAGCATAAACCTAATTCCTAAGACACTGCATCATTCCTGGCCAATTCTGTTACGTGTAAGTTTTACCTAAAGCCACTGACCGTTCCGACATGGCTTCTGGCTGCCTTGAGACCCTAGACAGTGAATGATTCCATCCAAGCCTGGTCTATGCACTCTGGGTAAACTTCGAATCTTAGACCCTTGCTGGGCTACATCTGCCCTTGGGGTCATGGCATCTGACGGACTCTGGCCAGCTCCTGCTCTGGTCCACTCTACCCTCCTGATGAGCACTTACCACTGCAGCAAGGGCACAGGATGGGCACAGGGAGAGACGAAAGAGTGGACACGAGTTACAATGGCCTGCCCCAGTCACTGCAAATGCCCTTTAAAGACCTTCTATACTTAGAAAAAGAGGTTTCACAGAAGTCATTTAATACTGACTGATTACATGAGTTCACTAAACAGAGAGGCACTGTGAGGAAACACAAAAGAAAAAGAAGAAGAGATCCCTTACCTATGCAGCTCACATACTTTAGAAAGAACAAACACCCTAAGTCTCATCAAGTGGTAGCAGGGACCTGCCTCAAGCAGGAATTGCACAGTACTTAAAACCTTCTACCATAGTGGACCTCTGCACACAGCCCTGGGGAGGTTCTCAACTGCAGATTTCCAGGCTCCACCCCTGAGGTTCCAATCTAGTAGGTCTCAGGAATACCCACACCTCTGTTTTCCAAAGTTCCACAAAAATATCTGATGTGAAGAATGGGTTCAAAACCAGTAAGAGGGCATTTAGTATTTCTTAAATGTGAGGTGTCAGCACTTGGGTTCGCTTTCCCTGTTTGCATCACACCTCTTCTCCCTGTTTCATTGCCATGTCCAGGGTTACAATTACTAGCTCTTTAACATAATAAAAAGTACCAGACATAACTCAACAGATGTCATGAAACGTAAAGCAAATAAAAAGTTTTAGATTCTCTGCTAGCTTAAATACAATATAATGATACAAATCTGATGTAATTTTAAAATATAAATTGGCCCTGAAATACCGAAAACACAAACTGAGAAGAATAGGACAAAGGAAGGTTTGGAAAATGGATAAAGATGATCCCCAGAAGCTTTGAAAGTCAGATTCTGGGCATCTTTACAGTCAGGTAGGACATGATTTAGGGGGTCTCACTGTCTCCTTTAACATGTTGTCTGACCCACCACATCCATGCAACATATGAAAACAGATCCCTCAAGCCTGATCCTTGGGTGAACATATGCAAGTAATATCAGCTTATAAAAAGAAAGACTAACACTTATTGAGTGTTTATCTTGTGCATGTTGTATCTTATGTCCTATACATGTACAATTTATTTAATCCTCCAACAACCCAAGGAGGTAAGTATGGATGAGGAAACTGAGGCACAGAGAGGCTGAATGGTTTGCCCAAGGTCGTGGAGCTGGGAGGTAGTAGCACTGGTTTTCAAACCCAGGAGCCCAGGGCCGGAGCACACACTCTGAAAAACTAAGTCCTTGATTAGCTTTGTTTTGCCACTTTCCAGCAACTACAAGTCAAATAAGTTGGTGCGCTCTCTAGGCAAACAATTTAATTCTAGTTAATTATCTTAAGTGTTGATTCCTTGCAAAAATATAAGACCTTCAGTATTTCACCTGGGAAAACAGTTCAACGGGTGCTGCTATAGCCTTCTGTTCTTTCAAGTACTGCCCCCAAGACCACGTGTCCTGTGCAGCTGCTGAAGGGACTGGGGGAAAAAACAAACAAAACACAATGACTTTTCTTGAAACAATTAGTGACAGAAAAATAATAAAATTCAATTGAAGATAAACCCAAGAAGCAGGCAACTTAATTAAATTGGTAATCAGAAGACCCAGCATCCAATAAGAGCCTTCTCTCTCACTTTCTGTGAGCACTGAGTAAAATCATCTAACTACTCCATATTCAGCTTTTCCTGTTTTAGAACAGGCTTATGAATATATCCCACCCCCCAAAAGACTGCTGGTGAACATTTTAAACAGGGACCCTCATACTCCATTCACAGAAGAGTGAACAGTTACAGGTTCTCTACAAGATGATTTGGTTAATTTTAAGGTGAATGATTGGAGGAATTTTTTATAATCTCCTTTAACTTTACCTCTTTTTGGAGTGAATGCCAATTAGTGCAATCTGTCAGAAGGCAATGTGAAATATATGTCAAAAGCCTTAAAAATTATTCATATACCTGAAACCAGCAACTCTTCTAGGAATTTGTCTTAATACAATTACAGTGGATGTGCCCAAGGGACAAACACAAGGGTTTTTATCCTATAAGTCTTTATAATAATGAAATGTTGGAAACAAACTAAAGGTCCACTAAGAGAGGATTAATTAAATGCATTGTATAGGCATGTCATTTTAATAATTGGCCGTAAAGTTACATTGTAGCACACTGTTTAATGACAGAGGAAGGTATGTTAATAATACACAACTAAGGGAGGGGGAAGCAGTTTAGAAAACAAAATGATCCTTTTTCATAAAATAATGGAAATAAAAAAACTAAAATTATATAAATCAAAATCTTAAATGAAGTCATCTTTAGGTGCCAGGATTATAAAAAATTTCTTTTCAATATTCTTTGTTTTTTGTTTTCCTGCTTTCCAAATTTTCTAAATGAATACCTATCCTTTGTAATTCAATAAGATATCATCTTTAAATAATAAAAATCTGGCAAAAAGGACTAACAATTGTTTTAAGTTTATATTCTATGTCCCAGTACTTCCTTCTCTAGGATTATTATCTGCTAAAAAAGTAGTCATGATAAAACTTAATGGTAAAAATGTACATAAAATTATTACAGCAAAAATGCAAAATAAAAATATGGGAGAAAGGTTAAATTATGGTACATATGTATATATACATGATTATGAAGTTATCCAAATCCATATTTTTAAATAAAATATCTTGAGGATTTTCTGTGATGAATAAAAATCAAAGTAAGGACACAAACAGTACATATAATATCTTAAATTTTAAAATAAATTACATATATTAAAACACTCACATACTCAACATATTTATAAAGCACCTTCTTTGTGCAAGGTACTCTGCATACATGTGTGTCCACACATGCAAACACAAGCATAGAAAAGCAATTGAAAAGAAAGAGCAACATATTGACAATGGCTATACGTGGGTGGTGACATTCACGTAAATATTCTTTCCTTATTTGTTACTTTCTACAGTTTTAAAATTCTCTACATGCACACACTCACACATTCTCACACATTCACACACATACACATACATGCATCCTTGGAGAAGACTGTTCAAAATTTTTAACATTTATCTTTCTGCAAAATGCTCCAGAAGAAGGTACAGATAGTAAAGGGTCAGAACTGCGTATTTGTGGTGACACGTGGGGTACAATACACCTCTAAGTCAAATATCTGAAACTAGATAATAAAGCAACCTGATATAACAAACATAAAAATCCACTAAGTTGTACAGGAAAAATTCATGTAGACTTTTAATCATTTAAAAAATATTTTCAGACTTAGCCCTTTTGGCTCAGTGGTTAGAGTGTCGGCTTGTGGAATGAAGGGTCCTGGGTTCGATTCTGGCCAAGGGGATGTACCCTGGTTGCAGGCTCAATCCCCAGCCCCAGTTGGGCGCATGCAGGATGCAACCAATCGATGTGTCTCCTTCACATCAAAGTTTCCCTCTCTCACTCTCCCTCCTACTCTCTCCAAAAAGTAATAGAAAAAATACCCTCAGGTGAGGATTAAAAATTAAATTAATTAATTAAATTAAATAAATATTTTCTGAGCTCTTCTTAATGTGCCAAGAAGTGTGCTGACTGCTGGAATAAAAATATAACCCAGTCCCTGGTCTAATAGATAATAAATAAATAAATACTATAAATTATTTTTCCTTTAGTATCCATATGTATTATTGACAAAAAAGAGAATATTTTTATGCTCGGGTAATAAAGAAAAAAATAACATCAATTTATAATCTTAAAACAGACACAACAGATCATGCACATTAACATAACATTTACTCTGTATCAATCACAACACACTAACCTGTTATTATTGCTAAGCAATACACTTACTAAAGCCTGAGACTAAGTAAAGCATTTTAATTATCATATGGGCTAACAGAATTGTCATAATAATTTTTCTTGCTTTGTTTGAAAAGGGTGAGATATCCAGATCACAACCCAAGTGCTCATCAGTAGATGAATGGATAAAAAAACTGTGGTACATTTACACAATGGAATACTATGCGGCTGTACAAAAGAAGGATCTCTTACCCTCTGAGATGGCTTGGGGGACCTGGAGAGTATTATGCTAAGTAAAATAAGCCAGTCATAGAAAGATAAGTATCACATGATCTCATTTATATGTGGAATCTAATGAACAAAATAAACTGACGAACAAAACAGGCCCAGAGACATGGAAGCAACAGACTGATGTATACCACAGGGAAATGGGGGGTGGGAAGAGATTAACCAATAACTTATACGCATATATGCATAACCCATGGACACAGACAATAGGGCAGTGAAAGCCTTGGGAGGGGGCCAGAGTGGGGTAGAGGGGGTAAATGGGGGAAAAAGGGGACATCTGTAATACTTTCAACAATAAAAAGAATTAAAAAACAACAACAACAACAAAAAAAAACCCACAATGAGATACCACAGTGTGATTTCCATCAGAGCTCAGTCTGTTGGCCATTACATCCCTTAAAAGATTTGCTGTTATTTCTACCACAACATGAGATGTTTTCTTTTCCTAAACCAAGAAAGCAATTTGACAAACCCTGAAGATGATCTGGTAAGATTATTCAACATCCCTATTTTCACATAAACATTTTACTACATTACCATTATATGCTTTACAAAAACATTACAGCAGTGTTGGCTCTAAAGCAAATATAGATATCTCATTTTCTACAACAGCTGTGTTCTTAAAATGATTGCGTATAATTTCTCAATTTAATCATATTTCCCATTGTCATATATTATCATTTCACCAGAAGTAAATCATATCTAAGATCTTTTTTTATGATCACATAAGTATGCAATGAACCTTTAAAATTTTATCAGGAAGAGAAAACATAGTATCAAACAATAACCACTTTCAATGCCTGAAATATTTTTGTAAAGCAAGAGACTGCTCAGCAACATAGTGCCTGCAGGTGAGAGGAGGGAGTACCAAGTTTACCTGCACCTGGAGCCTGCAGACAGCCCTTCACCTGCCACTGATTCTAAAGTGTTCTGTCACCCCTTTTGTCTCTTTTCACCTTGTTTCATTCTTTCACAGGGATTAATTACATTAGCTGAAACTAACATTAGCTGAAATGAACCAGTTTGCTTACTTAGAATTAGAATGTAAGATCCTAAAAAAAAGAGAGATTTGGGTCTTGTTCATCATTGTGGCCCTGGGGCTATAATCATGCTTGGCCGTATATATTTGCTTAGTGAATTAAAGGGGAGGCAGGCAAGCAGAATAGTACTTTTGGCTTTCATGGGGGACATCTGTAATAGTGTCAACAATATAAATAAATAAATAAATAAATAAATAAATAAATAAATAAATAAATAAATAAATAAATAAATAAATAATAAATAAATAAATATTTATTTTGACCACCTCATTTCTCAATTTCCTGGAGGGAAGAAACCAATTATGAGACAGCAATGCTTCAGGTATCAAATTTACTATATTTTTAAGGCAGTTTTCTCAGACATACTACAGATATGACCTTCGTTTTATAAAATACTGGATATACGTACCAGTTTGTAAATCCTAAATTCCTCCTCTTTTCAAAATAAACACTGGCCACAACAAAGTGTTCCAAACACTACTTCTGTCAAACACTACTAATATATAAATGTATTTGATTGTATATTAATCATCACTTAATATACACCTATTATTATGCCAAGTATCCAATTAGGTGGTTGGTGTGTGTGTGCACATGCGCAAAACATGTGTGAGTGTATATGTATGATGTGTATGTTTCTATTTATTCTTTACAATATAATATACATAACCTTATCTTATAATTTTAAGAAATGGAGGCTTAGAGAGGTCACATATCTAGAAAAGTCTGGATTTAAATAACATTTCTAGCCCATGCACACCTGTTATATCACACTGCCCCACTTTAGCATACACAGTCAAGATGTAGCAGAAATGTCTATTAAATTAGTAACTTTGATGTTTAACAGCACCATGAAATTAAATCTGCCAGGAAGTTAATAAGCTTACTCACTGACAGTGGTTTTGTAAATCTGACTAAAACTTTTGAAAATTACATCGATAACACGTATTTATTGCCAAAAAATAACATACTAATACTCACTGATCTATTCATCCCAATTTAACATTGTATTCTGGAAAAAAAAAAAAAAAAAAGCAAAAGTAACAAATGCTGCCTTTACAACAGCACAAAGTTTGGGAGTCAAAATCTAAACATCCAACAACTGAGGCCAAATAAAATAAATTATGGTTATAAACATCACAGAATATGACTTAAAAAAAAAAAAAAGAAATGAAAATACCTAGGTTAAGGTGATGAGATCTGTCAAGCAACGCAAAACAAAGGCTAGCAGATTTGGCCAGTCAAGAACCCAGCCCTTTTTTATATTCAGTTTATTACTCCAATAGACAGCAAAAAGCAAAAGCAGCTAAAGGGGCTAGCTTCCTGTGTCCCTTGCATAGGGTGATGCTGAAACAAAAGGAACTAGATCCTACA